TTCTGGTTGCAAAAGTCGGTTTGACGTAATTAGTACGGTATGCATGTACATGCATGTTTCGAGTATCACCGCGTCGAAAAAACAGTCTAGTAACGGTCTAGTGACTGGACCTTTCCTCTCTCATTTAAAGGGGCACTAATCTCGGGCTTCTTCTCGGCTGCCTCACACTGCCCGCTAGGGCTCACTAGCTGCCGTGAGTCGATTTGCTAGCTGGGCTACGTCTGCAAGGACAACTAAATAAACTTGGAGGCAATATTTCTTTTACGCATTTTTGAACACTAATTGGTTACCCATGATCTATGAAGACTTCGACGAAGGGCGCATGTTAATTAATTTCTTCAGCCTAAACAAATGGAAAAAAAGAACCTGATGTCGTTATTATTTAGGGTTAGTTTAATAATAAAAAAGCATCCCTGCAGTGAAAGCATTTTCGGATTGCGTGGATAATACGATTACTACTCCCATGTTTTCTGGTATAACCATACACTTGTGTATTTGTCGTCATTCACTTGATGTTCAGTTAATTAATTTATTACAGGTTATATTTGTGGTAGCACCACTCAGGTTTGGCATTTCCTGTGTCTGGGGTAATTATTCAATCTAAATCCAGGCTTGAAGTGAGGTGAAATGATAGATAGAAAGATATATTGTCTTGAGGTAAAAGGATCGGATAGCGGTGAATCAAGCTTTTCCACATCAGAAATTTTATAGATCGTTTCAATCAATACTACTTTTTCCGTTAAATCAGAAGCAAAGAGTTATCAAAACAATCAGACATTACAGGTGTAGCTAAATCACCAAAATACATGCCAAACGCTAAGCATATGTCCTCGGGCGTCGCTGAAGAAATCCCATTAATAGTTAGTTTTGACATTTGTCCATTCTGTCTCGATAAGCCTTCAGTCACTTTCACATATTCGTTAATGCTAAAAAATAACAAAGGCAACAACCAGTCCCGGGGAATTGCTTTGGATCAGCGCCCCATTAATTGTTCGGTTTCCGTCACCGTTCGGCTAAGTCCGGCACTCCTCGTCATCCTGTACCTTTCCTCATTTGAGGACGAGCGACCTGTATTTTCAATCAAACACGAGCCTCGCCTACAAAACAAAAATATACATTATTCATTCCTCTCGGAAATGTCTGTCATCAGGGGTGTCAAAATCAGGTTATCAGGTTATGAATGATTATCTTCGAGGCAACCCCGTTACCGGATAACCTGATATGTTGGGTCCCTTTCCTGAAGGAGTTCCTCCAAAAATCCGTTTTCATATACATTTTCAGTTGGTCGTTGCATCATTTCAGTTTCATCCTTACAAAACATATTTGGATTCAAATTACTCTGTTCTAACAGTTTAATCATCGCAATTTCCAAATGATGCAACAACCAACTGAAAAGTTCTAGTAGGCCATCTAGTGAAGGATTTTATTGGGTATTCAATTCATATTAACAAGTGTCAAATTGACAAACAGACCGTCCGGCTATCTAATAAACCTAAATCACAACGGGTACTTCCGCAATAACTACTACTACTACTACTACTACTACTACTACTACCACTACTACTACTACTACGACTACGACTACGACTACGACTACGACTACCGACTCTACAACTACTGCAGCGTTTACAACAGCGGCTCAGTAGACTAATACTAATACCACAACATCTCCTGCACATCAAAGAAATATTCAACAACTATGACAACCACCACCACCTCCCCCGCCTCCAATACTACTACTATTAAACAAACTGCTACTAGTTAATGTCTAGAACCACGACTACTACTGTGACTACTACTAGAACTACTAATACTACGTCTATGTAATAGGGTCAACCTATCACGCCAGTGTGATTTTACGCAACATCCTGCATAACACGATAAAGTACACCCAGTTTTCGATATATTCAGGTTCTGGTCATATTTAAATGTAATCCCGAAGGAAACAAAACGTGCGGACATTTCGATCTCACAAAGTTTCAGGACGCATAAACAGAAACGTACAGTAAACTCTGTTGTCATGTAAGATATACGACAACGGTATTGGTAATGTTCGGTGTTGTGACAGCACAACATGTAAACAAATTATCATGATTATCCGCTATTAATATAAATAGCATCCGCTATTACGAATCTTTTTGAATGGTATCAGCACAACTTCTTTGAGAGGCATTTAGAAGTTTGAGTTCAAAGTAAGGATACGATTTATGGATGAACAGCTTCTTTATTACAATTAGGAGCGACGTTTCGGTGTAGGTTCTAATGTAATAAAACATCTTATTTGGTGAACACCGAATTATTTACCATTCGCCTTGGATTAGCCCTCTTAATCCGGATTAAACAAGACACCTTCATGATTGATTTCGAGAAAAAATCGTACGCCCTACCAGTAGGGATTAGTGAAAAATCTGTTGGTCACCATCCTACGAATGAAACCAAACAGGTACGCTACTATGAAGAATTGTGCAGAACCTTGAGAACAATTTGTTGATTGATTGCCAAGAGACACTTACTTCGCGGTGCTCGAATTATTTTGACGTTACGTTACTTTAAAATTACATTCAGAATGCGTCAAAGAATATATCAAGCGCAAATAGTAGCCACGTAGACCGTTTACATTGTTGTACACTTACGAGAAAGACTCCTGGTGTATACATTTATAAATTCTTCGTAACGTCTGTCGTATGGATATTTGATTTCCATCCTAGAACCCCGAAAATTGTGCGTGGGAGTGTATTTACCGACACAGCGGCAAAAACGTCAAGCGCGGCTTTGAACTGAATTAACGCAGAAGTGGTATCCAGGACACCCAGATAGTTGCACCATATGTTCAGGCCAAAGTGCACGACTTGCATTCTGGCCATGGACTACGGCTTTAGTGGTGATGTTGTAGTTAAGGAGGTCATCTAATACCAATGTGGGGAATGGAACACGTGACGAGCGAACGATTAAACCACAAGGCCACCCCACCTCTCCACCGTGACAGAAATGCGGTTCTGACTCCTGGTTCGTTTTCCTTATTATGTTTGTAGGTTTGTTAGCACCACTTTGGGTGGTAAACAACTAAGACGTTCATCACTTGGCTTTCCAAGGCTTTCCTCCCAAATAAAGCTGACATGCCGTGATATAACTGCAATACTGTTAAAAACGTGATTAAACGTCGTCAAACCCCATCACTAATTTATTGTGCGGCTGTATTTTATGTGTTGAATGATGTGATGTCAGACATTTTCAGCTGGTTTTTTTTCATACATCCTCGAATAATCGTAGTGCTTCATAATTATTTTTGAATGTTTATATAGTTGTTAATAAATATTAAAGTGTACAGTAGTCATTCAGGCTGGACATCACTGTTAATAGCGTGGGGGGGGGGGGGGGGGGGGGGGGGCACAGTACTCTGAGGCGACACAATTCGCTGTCTCTTAGGCGTGCCATAAACCTCAAATCGTGGCTTCTCCTCCCGGTTCGCACTAAATATGCTTATAGGTTTGTCAGCACTACGTTAGGTGATAAACGTCTAGAATCGTCATCACTATATTTCACACGAAGCTGACATGTCGTGATAATGCTGTTTAAAGTGTCATTAAATCCAGCTAATATAACGCATTCACGAAATGACATTGTCTCTGTATGATGTGTTGTTGTGATGTAATTTATGCGATGTTCGACACTCTATGTGTTTCACTATTTCCATCTCAATGTCTCCTAAATGTCACGAGGCAACACGTTTTGTGTTATTCATAAATAAGTGTCGTGCTTTTTGAATTATTTCGGAACGTTCTTTCACCTTCTCTTGTCCTTTTTCAATGTTGTCTCAAGTTTCAACTATAACAACTTACTTACCAACTTCATATAACAACTTACTTACCAAAGTTGGTATTGATGAAAAATAAATAAATACAAGATAAAAATTACACTTGAAATTTGATAGTTATGCACATGCGTTTTGGTTTATTTGTATGTTTGTTGTTTAACGCCGCACCCAGCTGTATTCGAGCTATTTGACGGATGTCTGTAAATAACCGAGTCTGGACCAAACAATCCAGTGATTGACATCATGAGCATCGATCCACGCAGTTTGGATACGATGATATGCATCAACCAAATCAGCGAGCCTGATCACCCGATCTTGTTAGTCGCATCTTACTACACACATACGTAATAAATATAATCAAATCATAAGAAATGTCGTTTTTAAAAACAAATAATTAGAATGGTTGTCCCACTGGATTACACTTTCCGCGTTGTCTACGTTACCTATCATAACTTGTAGATGATACTAAAATGGTGAACAATAAATTACATAGTTTTCCATACACTATTCTGAGGAAGGGTTTGTTTGCTTTATGTTGAACGCCGCACGCAACAATATTCCAGCTATATGACGGCGACATGTAAAAGCTGTCTGAAATAGCCATTTAGTAATTCATATGAGCAAAGGTCGAACGAATATGAACGATATGATGACAAGCCTGACCATCCAAACCATTCCGTTGCTTCGGTTTCACCGTGCCTCAGTGTCCCATGTACTTGTGTATGACGTTACAGATCGATCAACTACTTACATATGTATACGACACACAGCCTGCACAGTTAAATGGTTGATCGACCTCGTTATCAATATCGTACACATAAAGCCCCTTATTTCACAGTTATTCTGTTCACATGGTCACAGTTACTGTTGTATTATAGCGTGCACCCTCACCCACACGTTTGTTTGTTGTTCAGCGCCGCACTTAACAATATTCCAGGAGGCGTCCTGTACTCTATGGAAAATGCAATCAAATGATTGATATTTCATACACCGATCCATTCCGTCAGGGTAGCCATTAGCCAATGTTCCATTTAGTCGCCTCTTACGGCCAGCATGTTGGTTCTTAGGGACCTATCATAACCCATAATCACCTCGGATAGTAAATATAGAGAGTAAGCGTGTGTGGCATTATGTGACAGGCATGGAATAATAAGAACAAGATACGCGGATGCGAATTCGGTGTTCCTTACCGGTAAGTGCTGGAAAAGCGTCTCACCAAGCTGCAAAGGGAATAATTCAAAATGCAACGACCTACACTGATATACTGACATATATGAAATAAAACGTGTATGCATATGTGATATTGATTCCGTTTTCTTCACTCCGACTTTCAGACAGACGGCATAAAGTTTGTAACTTTAGATCTGTCAAGATTTGCTATTGCATGTATAAACAATTGTCGGAATTCATAGCAAATAATATTGCCATAAATAATCTCAGAATCATGTTCATAGGAAACTTTAAACTTACAGAGCCACAGTGATGGTTGTCAATACTATGACGACAGCTAACACACCAGCGGCGAAGACCATATTTAGGATGGCTCGCTTGGTTCCATCTGTCACTTCTTGGTCGTGTCTTGGTGGTGGATCGTTTCTTGTCACTAGGTAAAATGACATACTAAGATAATTAGGCATCATAGAGTTCTGTAGAATTCCCTTCAACACGTTAGAAATAGCTGTGTATAAAATTATCTTCATCGTGAAATACAAATTACGTATGGAAAGTAGGAAGATTCTGTGATAATGTCAGTGATAGTATGGTGAAACGCTACAATTTTGTATGTGTTAATACGCGTCTATTTAGGGGAGCATTTCGTAGAATTCAGGTGAAATTGTAAGCATGATTTAGTTTTAACAAATCATAAATAAGATAGCAAAACATCCATTCGTTTTATTCACGTTTGTTATTCCTCAGTTACCTTACGTAATGAGCGAAAGAAGCCAATTCGGTTGTCACATAGCTTCGGTTGTTGTTTCCACATATTAATGTTCTCGGTTCTAAAATCTCTTTCATCACTTTAACCTATTCCGCTGAAACTATTTTTTAAAATATTCGATACTAAAATTGCTCCAATTATGTTATATGGGGCTGAAATGTGGAGTTTTGAAAACTGTAAAGAAATATAAAGTATCCATGTACTTGCTTGTAAACGTCTGCTAGGTGTTAAAACGTCTACTCCGATGTTGTGCGAGGAGAGTGTGGAAGATACCAACTGTCAATTCTGCGTATAAACGCAGTATAAAATATTGGTGTAAATTTATGTCCCTCCCAAATTCACGATATCCTAGAAAAGGTTATAATATGTTATTTCAGCTGGCCACACATGGTAAAACGTAATGGCCTACAAAAGTCAAAATTCTATTATACAGCCTTAGATTTGGATATATATGGGAGAAACAATGTCATTTGCCCCGAAAAATTTATTTCCGAATGTGAAGATCGGTTAAAATTTCCTTACGAACAGGATTGGCATTGGTCTTTAGCAAATAGTTCTAAAATGTTCCATTTTACACTTTTCAAAAATTCATTAAGTCTAGAGTTGTATTTGTCTGCTATCGCTATAAACATATTTCGTGTTGCACCAGCCCAGTTTCGCTGTAGCTCTCACACTCTCCACATTGAGACTGGTAGATACGTTAATACTCCATGAGAGTAGAGACTGTGCAATAGTTGCAATCAAAGATATGTCGAGGATGAATATCATTTTTTATTAATTTGTAACGCTTATGATGAACTTCGTCTTCAGTATTTACCACAGAAGTATTTTGTACATCCTACTCTTGCTAAATTCAATATGCTTATGGCGGTAAACAATGAAACTGTTATTAAAAATGTTGCAACTTTCATATACCATGCTATGAATGTTAGACTCCAAACACTAAGCCTATAAATGTTAATGATGGACCAAATATTGTACCATGGGCCGCTGGCCTACACATGTACCTGAATAAGGAATTGAGTATTTCCACATATTTTGTCAAACTTTCGGCCCGTTAAGTATGGGTCTTCATAAGAGATACAAAAATCCAAAGATGAGCTGTATAATTTACTCAACCGGTTTTCCAAATGAAGCAAATATATGAGTAAATATATATATATATATATATTTGGTTCATTAGGAATTTATATACATGTATGTCAACAAGGAACATAATTTCTTACACACCTGTGGGTGAGAAACCCATTTGAGATAACTGGTATCAAACATATGTGTGAGATCGAATTCCAGGCCCGTGATTGGCTACTCCATGGTGATGACCTGAGGTCAGATGATGACGGACTACTTTCCTGATTGTAAGTCATTCATAAGTTGCTCGTGCTTCAGTCGAATGTTCACCTACGTCTGTGTTGAACCACAGGACCGTGTAATTGATTATAAAAATAAACAAACTCGTCCTCGTCTGCGAGTTTGTTTTGTATTATTATCAGTTACATTATCTGTTGGTTTGTCAACATTATCGGTTTTTTTCAGAGTGTATCCCCCCTGGATACCACAGCGACACATATGTCCCTCCTCTTCAACCCTCACTTCGAAATCGAATAAAATTCAAAATACATCACGCAGACTAATACACTTCATGTTCACAGTTTTGAATTCCCCCTTCTGTTTATCATTTACTGTCATTTTAGGCAATTCAAAATTACTGAAAGTGACTTCTGAAAATTAGATACATTGTAAACCTCGCCAAATAACAATTCACGGCGTTATACAAATATATTTTGTGTGTTTAGAAATCTAAAGATCGGATATTTACTCGAATAATTAAAGTAGAAAACTAGCATATTAGCGATCACGGGTATCAAATCACTACTGATAATTCTGAAACGTCGCTGATAAGCCCAGAATCGTTTAGAATGTTTTGGAAAATACGCATACACGAACGCCGAAGTGTACGTTCCGCCATATTGGATTGGATTGTGTTTACAAAATTATGAGACGCCTATTCGATCAGGTATATTTCAAACTCAGCTGCTATACATGCATTCCTGAATTCCTCATACATTTTCGAAACAATGGATAAATGGTCTTTGTCACAAATGCAAATTATCTAGATGAAATCATGCGAAATAAATTAGGTATGGAAACGAAAACTGTGCTCGGAAAACTGTACTTGTAAATGTAAACAAAGCAAAATTCAGATTTTACACTGTGTAGCATTTGTAGAGGTACCTTCGTCTAATTGGTGCATACATTGGCTCGATCACGCGTTTGAGAATATTCATGGGAAGAGTATCGTTGCACTAACTATGGAAATAAACATATACACATTACAATCTTGTGGTAAATTCAACAGGAGCCGTAAACTTTTCCGTCCTGTGTGACGCCACGACTGACGCTAAATCACGCACAATGACGACGGTAGTTATCTGCATTTCTGACTAATTCTCTTTGTCACATTGGAAAACATGGTAACAAATAACAGTACGCAGATTGTCAGAATGTTTCTGATTACTTACGTGACACATTTATGTGTATACGATCCCACAATCAACGAAAATCCTCCTCTGGAAATCCCGCGTACTGTTGTCAGTGAACACGCCATTTTGTAAACGTTGGTCACCGGTAGTGATGTCATACGGAAGTAAACACTGTTGTACATATTTGGAAATTTCTTTGAGGTGTCAACTTTCAACTTGGCACCCAGCGTGTTCTTTGTTTTTGTCTAGTTTGCATTTTCATCATCGCCTTGATATTCCACAGATAAGACGGAAACCTTTTTGTGTAGGGTCACATTATTTGTGAGAAGTAAGCAGCACATAGGATGACGTCACTTATGACAGTGGTGTTATGTATTAATGCGCTACTTCAATCATGAGAATAGACAAAATGCATTGATTCGATGCTAAAAAGGTGCGATTTTAGAGTGTGTAAGAAACAGATTACTGCACTCGTGCCTGTCAGATACCATTGATCTTACAACTCGTTGTTACAAATCGTATCTAACTCGCTTTCGCTCGTTAGATACGTTTTGAAACAACTCGTTGTAAGATCAATGGTATCTGACAGACACTCGTGTAGTAATCTCTATTTCTTACACACCTGTGGGTGAGAAACCCATTTGAGATAATTGGTATCAAACATATGTGTGAGATCGAATTCCAGGCCAGTGATTGGCTAATCCATGGTGATGACCTGAGGTCAGATGATGACGGACTACTTTTCTGATTGCAAGTCATTGGTGCTTATCCAAACTACCATAATATAAAAATATTTGTTTTTAGTGAACAATATCCTTAGGTATAATTCTATGTTCATATGTTGTACATTACCGGTGCGAGAATGTGATTAAACAGATTAGTAGTTTGTGCTTATCCAAGCTACCATAATATAAAAATATATGTTTTTAGTGAACAATATCTCGTGTGCGAAATACGCTTCAGTCGGAAAGCGCACGTAAAATCTCCTAGTATAAGTAAGTAAGTAAGTAAGTGAACAATATCCTTATGTATAATTCTGTGTTCATATGTTGTATATTATTTGTGAGAGAAGGTGACTAAGTAGAAATTTTGAAATACGACAGACTGACCAAGGGGATTGGGGATAAACAGAATGACTGGATTAAAGTATATGCATGACTGTGTGACATGGTGTGACTTGGGGCGTATATGGGTGTGTGCTAGGAAGGGTGGGCAGATTGAATACAGAATGACACGGTTGAACTTGTGCATGATTGAATGTGTGGGGGTTATATTCAATAATGCGTGTAATTGTGTGACCGAGTTGGATTTCTGTGACTCGCTGATCTGGGGGGGGGGGGGGGGGGGGTTTGCTATGGTGTGTGAACTGGTGACTAGGTTGATCCTACATGAGAGTATATGTCCGTGTGTCTGTGGAGTCGGGCGGGGGGAGGGGTGGTGGGTGGATGGGGTTTGCTGTATACATATGAAGATATTGTTAGTTATAATATTTTATTTATTTATTTTATTGATTGTATAATTTTAGGTGTCTTTTAGGGGGAGGGGGTGGGGGGTGGGGGTGGGGGTGTGTTAAGGTGTGTGAACTGGTGACTAGGTTGATCTTGCATGAGAGTATATGTCCGTGTGTCTGTGGAGTGGGGCGGGGGGAGGGGTGGTGGGTGGGAGGGGTTTGCTGTATACTTATGAAGAAATTGTTAGTTATAATATTTTATTTATGTATTTTATTGATTGTATAATTTTAGGTGTCTTTTAGGCCAGTAATGGCCAGGTGTATTATGTACACATGACACATTAATAAACTATATTATTATTATTATTATAGATAAGTTGCTCGTGCTTCAGTCGAATGTTCACCTACGTCTGTGTGAACCACAGGACCGTGTTTTTATTAATAATAATAATAATAATAATAAGCAAACGCTTTTTCTTCTGCGAGTTTGTTCGTTATTATTATCCAGTAACGCTATCTGTTGTTATGTCAACTTTAACGGGGTTTTTTATAGCACAAACCCACTGGATGCCACAACAACTCATATTTCCCTCCTCTTCAACTCTCTCTTCGAAATCGAATAAAATTCAACATACATCACGCAAACTAATACTAATCACGGTTGTGAATTCCCCTTTCTGTCTATCATTTACTGTCAATTTAGGCAAAGCAAAATTAATGAAAGCGACTTCTGAAAATTAGGTACATCGTAAATAACGCCAAATCATAATTCACGGCGTTATTTACTGTGTGTTTTTAAATTTTAATATCGGATATTTACTTGAATAATTAAAGTATAAAAAAATGCATACCAGTGATCACGGGTATCAAATCACTATTAATAATTCTGAAACGTCGCTGATAAGCCTAGAATCCCTTTGGAATGTTTTGGAAAATACGCATACACGAACGCCGAAGTGTACGTTCCGCCATATTGGAATATGTTTACAAAATGCCGGTTATGAGACGCCTATTGGATCAGGTATATTTCAAACTCAGCTGCTATACATGCATACCCGAATTCCTCATACATTTCTCAAACAAATGACACATGGTCTTTGTCACCAATGCAAATTATCTAGATGAAATCATGCCAAATAAATTGGGTGGGGAAACGAACACTGTGCTCGGAAAACTGTACTTGCTGAAATGTAAACAAAGCAAAATTCAGATTTTACACGCTGTAACATTTTAGAGGTACTTTCGTCTAATTGTTGCATACACTGGCTCGATCACGCGTTTGAAAATATTCCTGGGAAGAGTATCGTTGCACTAATTATGGAATTTCAAATATATACATTACAATGATCTGGTGAATTCAACAAAAACCGTAAAATTTCCGTCAGGTCTGACTCCATGACTGACGCTAAATCACGCACAACGATGACGGTAGTTATCTGCATTTCTGACTAATTCTCTTTGTTACATTGGAAAACATGGTAAACAAATAACAGTACGCAGATTGTCAGAATGTTTCTGATTACTTACGTGACACATTTATGTGTATACGATCCCTCAAGTAACGAAAATCCTCCTCTGAAAATCCCGCGTACTGTTGTCATTGAACACGCCATTTCGTAAAAGTCGGTCACCGGTAGTGATGTCATACGGAAGTAAACATTGTTGTAGATATTTGGTAATTTATTTGAGGTGTAAACTTTTAACTCGGCATTCAGCGTGTTCTTTCTTTTTGTCTAGCTTGCATTACCATCATCGCCTTGATAATCCTCAGATATGGCGGAAACCTTTTTGTTTAGGGTCACAATATTTATAAGTAGTAAGCAGTACACATGATGACGTCACTTATGACAGTGGTCTTATGTATTAATGCGCTACTGCGATCATCAGAATAGACAAAATGCATTGATTAGATGCTAAAAAGGTGCAATTTTAGGGTGTGTAAGAAACAGATAACTGCACTCGTGCCTGTCAGATATACCATTGATCTTACAACTCGTTGTTACAAAGCGTATTTAACTTGCTTTCAACTCGTTGGTATCTGACAGAGACTCGTGTAGTAATCTCTATATACATTCATTTTTTCACCTTATAACATACCAAAATATCATTATTAAGTATATTTATATGAAACAATAGCCCAGTATCTCTTCTCATTTGCAACAAAAGATTACATTAAAAGTTGAACTGTAATAATTCCTTAGTAAACGTGCAAGGGGACTTGTAGATAGTATGTTTAGTTTCACTCTGACCGTGCATTACACATGCTGACAATATATCTTTTCCAAACAGGAATGTATATCCTTCCTGTTTGTCAATTATGTCCTTGGATTCTTTAGATCTTCTGTGACCTTTTTTTCTGGAGCATTACGTGACTGTGTGTTTGAGGTGAATGTTGTGTAAATGAACCAAAGCTAAACGCATGCACAGGTAGCTTATTTATCATACCTTCTGGTACGTCACACAAAGCCCCTCTGTAGTTTCCTTTGCAACCTTTTGTGCACTGCCCTGTTTGTTGATTACACATATCACCGATGCAATTCGTGCTACAAGGGATAATGCAGTTTTCGTTATACCATCCAGGAACACAACCCAGTGAGCATGCTCCGTAGTGTTTCTCACAATAGATATTGTTGTCTGAATGAGAGAGGCACTTAGCACTGCAACGCTTGTCACAAAGTTCTCCATACCATCCCGGATCACAGGGGTTGGAGCCAAATACTCCTGATACTGCAACACGACACATTGTAATCAATTGTTTGTAGAGGAATACATGTACATGTACACAAAGCAGTTAATAATCATTAGAATTGCTGCTAATATCAGAGGACATCGTACGAAATACGACAAATACATTTTTATATTATTGTAATTGCAGCATTAAATTTTCAAGGCATTGCGTACGTATTTACTTTCAATTATAATTATGTTGTTATTGTGTTTAACAGAAGGTTTATCTGTACCTGTAATAAAATGTATCCGGTCAAGTATGAAATGGTTTTACAAAACCAGTCATAGGATGCTAGTAGACTGGTCTGGGAAGTACTTGATCATAGAGGAAGCCATGTACAAGACATGTGTATAATTACTTGATGGTACATGTAGTAAGACAAACAGCAAAATAAAATCCCAACCATCGAGATTGGATAAGGTAAAATAATTTCTTAAGTTCACGGCGTTGGCCACGCCTGGGCCCTCTTGCACAGAGGAAGTTTAGTCGCAAACGATTAAGGCGCCGAATGTCTTAAACCCTCATAACTTGCTGCGCATACAAAAAGTAGAACTAGTCACGACACACCACACTTATCTCCCTTTATCACACATTGCACAGTTTTACAAAAATCCCAATTTATTTGAAGGGAACGATTACTGAGATGATGGCATAATTTTGTGCTGTAGGTGAGGTGAGGTGAAATGGGATTTAACGTCGCTTCCAAGATTATTGCACTTATAAAGCGACGTGATTGCACGTGTGAGTGTGTGTTCGTATGTACCTGCTTGTACTAGTCCGGACTAATGCCGGTTTTATAGTGTTGGCCCACTGAGACACCATGTCGCAGTGTGACATGGATACCCCACTCAAACACAGTATACTGACTCCGAGCCGAACAGACCACGTTTCATCCGAGACGAGCGCAAGGCAGGGTAACAACAAGTACCACCTTTTAACGTCTTTTTGTATGACGCGACCGGGGACCCCGGGTGTTCGGTTCTCATGGTTGACGCACTACCACTAGGCAACGGGGGCAGTCTTGCAACTTGAGAAATACCTTCCCATGTTTTATGAAAATATTGAAATACGAATAAATGCATTCATATACTAGTATCTGGCTCTAGATTTAGTGACATACAAATAACAATAATAATATTCTCATGTCATAACACGTAAATGTATGATCGACCACTGATTGTCATAAGGTCCTTTTTTGATACGCATCTATTTAGGGGAGATTTTCGTAAAATCTTAAACATATCCTACATGTATACGTTTTACTGCTGTAAGAAAATATGCCATGACGACCGTTTCAAAACAGAAAGACTGGGGACAGTAAAGAATGCACGGAAGGAAAATAAGAATAATAAATATCATTTAGAGAAAGCAGTTGTTTAATTTTCTAGTATCATCACTAGCTATAAATTATGTAACTATATTACATTGGTAATTAGTTTTAAAAAGTGTGAAATTTCCTTGTGCTACTTTTGAGATAATATACAAAAGTTTCAAATGTCATATTATGTATATTTCATCGGTTTATCGGTTTCGATTGTAGCATTGTGGAAGTAGAAGACGATTGTAGCCGAAACCCAAGGTCGCGGTCGTTAGAATTTACAATAATTGTAACGATGTAGCGATTGTTTTGTGCACAGTGGACGCTGAACTTTAATACCTATCATTTGAATACCTGTAACAAGATCACAATAAATATTGACCTTAGCCCCACTCGTCTCTAATAATAAAGAAGGACGAAATTTCGACATACTCACCAGTTAGAATGAAAGGTAGGCAGCTAATGGACTTCACTAAAATGTCCATTGTTGACTTTCCCATCTGGAAAAGGTGAAGTAATTATTAGGCACTGGTATTACAACTTATCACTAAATTCAGGGCAGAACGATTCAATAACGTAGACAGTGTTCCAGAAGGAATTCCCAATAATTGAATTATAAATATGTAAAACGTTTTTTGCTTATTCCATAATGCGTTAGGTCTATTTTAAGTTCCATATTTTCTATCACAAATAAGTGTTTCTTTGTGAAATTTCAATTAATAAGTATCTAAATACGGATCCCCAAAGCGAACAATCCTAAAAACATCCCAAATGAAAAATATTCCTATTTATCATTTGCAGCAAATCTGAACCAAAATGGAACTCAAAAAGAGATCAAAACAATAAAATATTGTATTTCATCTTATCTCATAATCACTGTGTAGTTCTTTCTATACATAGTTTAGTCTCGTCGATTAGACGTGTAACATAATCCCAAACATACTACATCCCTCCAGCTTACCATGATCTCATCAGTTTGCCAAAACAACACTGAACTATTATCTCCCCACTGGCTTCCCATACATTCCTTCTTAGTAATCCTTGTGTTAATCCCATACCCCTCAATTACTTTACATCAACCCCATCTCTTGTATAAACTTATCTTATCATAACTACTTAATCAATCAGTGTACATCAACCGTATCTGTTATATAAACATCTATCTATTGTTATGTATATATATATCATGCTCATACCTAGTTTGTACAGTACTCCTAATTAACAATCAACCCACGAGGTACGATAAGATTAACAAAAAATATCGGCTATTGACCTAACTATATGCACCACAGATCTAGCCAAAAGTATTCAATGGGAAGTACACGATGTCCCTAGGTAGTGATCATTTCCCCATAAACATAACCATAGGAGATACAAACGTACCAATACATACAGAAAATCAAGAACCAAAATTCCGTTATAACCAAGCTAACTGGGACCAATTTCAAGTGATCTGCAATCAGGCTAATTTAAACGAATTAGAAAATAATGATCCAGAAATCAACTGTAAAAACCTAACAGATTACATAATAAAAGCAGCCAAAACCTCCATCCCTTTTAAAACAACTAAAACAGGCAAACCTACAGTACTATGGTGGAACGAGGAAAGAGAACGAACTAGACAAACGTAAATCAGCCTTCAATAAAGCCAAACACGACTATAAACATCTAAAAATAGCTCACGAACTAAACCACCAAGTTCAAAGTCTAGCCAAAATATCTAAAACCAGAAACTAGAAAATATTCTGTGAAGAAATAAATAACCGTACAGACGCCAGAACGGCCTGGCGCAAAATCCACGCCATTAGGGGCTTAAAACGTCATAATAAACACCTAACATTAATAATTCAACAAACCCCGCCGAAAAGGCAAATAATCTCGCCAACTACTTTTCGGCCGTAAGCAGTAACATCACCTTTAGCCCAAAAATTCAAGATAAACTTAAAACAGAAAACAAATCCACCAAAGAACCCAAAAATTACAACCTAGAAATAAACCACCCTTACACAATGGAGGGGCTACTCTACGTCATCCAAAACAGGAAAAAAGGGCACAGACCCAGGATTGGACCTAACTTCCTACCAAATAATTACCCCCCTAAACTACTCCAGGCACTACTTAAACTATACAATCTCATCTATCAAAACGGACAAGTACCTACTCCCTGGAAACAGGATAGTCATACTAATCCCTAAACCTATTAAACCAGCTAATCAGGCTAACTCCTATAGACCAATTTCCTTACTTCAAACTTGTGTAAAGTAATGGAATCTATGGCTAAATACAGACTACAACATTACCTAACTCAAAATAACATCATAAACCCAGATCAAAGTGGTTTCACTCCTGGCCGCTCAAACTTAGATAACCTCGCCCATTTAGAGCAGGGCATTAAAACAGGACAACTCAGCAAACAATATACTACAGGCATCTTCTTAGACTTCTCCAAAGCTTTCGACATGGTATGGCACGACGGGCTAATACAAAAACTACAAAAAATAGAACTCAAGGGTCAAATAATAAACTACATCCAGGACTTCCTAAACAATCGTAAAATAACCGTGGGTACAGACCAAACGCTATCGGACCAATGTCCCCTAGAAATGGCACTCCCCAGGGCAGTATCCTCAGCCCTACACTCTTCAATACAATGATAAATGATCTATTCGAGGGCCTATCCCCTAAAATAAACACATCTAAATTCGAGGATGATGGAGCCCTCTGGATCTGCACAAAAAGCATTAAAATGTCCACAAACCTACTTCAAAAATTTCTAAACAAAATGCAGCAATGGGCTGACAAATGGGGCTTCTCCCTTAACTCGGAAAAAAACTACAGGAATAGTATTTTAACACAAAAACATGAAAGCCGCCTCCCCAAAACTCCAGCTAAACAACAAACCAATCCAATTCTAAAACAAACCAAATTCTTAGGATTTTCGATGAACATCTCTCCTGGGACGCTCACATAAATAATCTGATAACTAAATGTAGCAAAGATCTAAATACGCTAAGATGCCTAACTGGCTCAAACTGGGGGGCTTCCAAAGACACCCTCCTCTCACTCTATATATCACTAATTAGATCTAAAATAGACTACGGATGTGCCATATACGACACCCGAAACCAATCCCTAAGCAAAAAAATAGACTCAATCCAATATTAGGCTCTAAAACTAATAACACGCACTCAACATGGCACCTCCTACACTTCACTCCAGGCCTTAACAGGAGAAATGCCACTAAATCTACGTAGGGAACAATTAACCCTATTTCTGGGCCGCGTCTCAATCCAACCCCCTATTCCAAAACCTAATAAACAAAAATATCCTCTACTTACTCCAATATCCCAAACAATAACCAATTACTTAAATGAACACCAAATAAACAATCTTAAACAAAACTGTAAAAAATCAAATATTTTCACCCCAAAACTTAAAACACCCAAAATAGACCTAACACTAGCTAGCACAATAAATAAACAAACAAACCCAAACATAGCAAAAACCAACAACATTAGCATACATACATGGAAATTGGCCAATTTACACAGACGGATCCTCAGATCCGATCTCCAAACACACAGGTTTCGGAGTCAACATCACACAGCAAACTAAAGGCACACAATCCTACCGACTCCCAAACAATCATTCAATATTCACGGCCGAACTAATGGGCATGGCCTCAGCCCTTCATAATCAACAATCTAAAAAACAAAAAAATAATCCTAATACTTACCGACTCGCTCAGTGGACTACAAGCCCTCCAAAATAAAAACACCAAAAACCGCCCTGAACTAACAAATCAAATACTAAAAAGCTCAAACGATTTAACTAAGGCAGGCAAACAAATAGTATTCATTTGGATCCCCGCCCAAGTAGGAATATACGGCAATGAAAACGCCGATAAAGCAGCTAAACTATCCCTTAAAATCCTAGAAATCAGCTAAAACCTACCCATCTCCAAATCAGAAATTAAAAGTGTCAACAAACAAAAAAATCACCAAAAAATGGCATAACCTGTATCTAAACTCAAATAGCCAAATCACAAAGGTTTTAAAAAACAACCTAACCAAACAAAAAATTCTACATGCTTAATTCTACATTAATATCTAAATAAGGCTCTTACTCTAGAAGCAATCCTAAACCCACAAAATAAAATAGAAAAATTCAAAGCCTTAGGCGTATACTTAATCAAAACAGGACTAATAAATCGCATTTAAAACACCAATAAACTACCAAAACCAAACCACATAATCAAACTAACAAACTTCCATACTCAGCTCCCTTAGTTCGCCCCCCAAACCCTCTTGGCATTTTTTCACAAATCTTAAAATTTCCAAAATTCTATATAAGCAACCACTAAAACACCCCTATAGCTACTGGATTGCCAAACAACTTTTTCCCCTTTTCGGAAACACATTAAATGGCCTGGCCGGGCCCGTGTGCGAAATATGCTGCAGTCTGAAAGCGCACGTAAAATCTCCAATATAAGTAAGTAGTGGGTGAGTTTGGTTTTAAGCCGCTTTTAGCAATATTCAAAGCAATATCACGGCGGGAGACACCAGAAATGGGCTTCACACATTGTATCCATGTCGGGAATCGAACCCGGGTATTCGGCGTGACGAGCGAACGCTTTAACCACTAGGCTACCCGACCGCCCCCATAAGTAAGTAAGTAAGTAAGTAGTTTGTACATCATTTGCTTGATAACGGTGTGAGAATCTACACCGAAAAGTCGCCCTAATTGTAATAAAGAAGTTGCTCATCCATAACATTTTTGTCTTAGTGGGTTAAATAAAACAAACTTTCGAAATAGTAAACACAAATACATGTCATGAATCCACTGTAGATAAACTTCAGTCCAAATGTACAAATATTTTCGCGCATTCATTAAGGGATTCCCATTTATCCATCAAGTAATATATATCTTACCTTTGAAAAAACAAAGCTCTTAGGTCCCTTTCTCAAAACTTCGTTTTAGTAATCACAACTAAAACTTGAATCTGGTAGCTGTAGATATACAAAAATCACCAACCCAATAGTATCAATGTCTCTGTGAAAACATGTTACATCTTAGAAGATGAGCAACATTACGCACTGTCTTGTTTAAAATACAAACAAGAAAGAGAATCCCAAATAATCCTCAATCATGATAAATCATTTGGTAAACTCTGTTTAAAGTAACAATTATTCATATTTTTACCAAATGTTATCCAGAAAGAATTTCCAAGATCTGTTATCATATCTACAATAATAAACAAGTTCATTGTATGTATAACATTTATATTGGTTTGCTCATTTTCAAAACTGTCAAAACAATTAACCATGCAGTACCGTAAACCATCGCAAGAAACGGTATGAATCATACATACAGTGAACATTCTGAAACAATATTGTTGTAAACTATGCACATCAAGCACCATACATGTGATTATGAAGACAAGTGATTACAAATTTCTAATATCAAACTCGTTGTTTCACATGTTTTGTTTTTTGAACAAAATCATTTAGAAGCCTGTTTTTATTCGTTTTGAACAATAAATGGCAAGAGCAGTGTGAAGGGAGAAAGCTTGAGTGCGCGTTACATGCTTGACTTGAATTCCTCCTGGAACCTTTCTCGCTGGCTGCCTGAATAACAAACGATACATTGCAAAGGTAGTGCGCAAGCTGTATCCTTGAGAGCGGTTTTCGGCAAGTTTAAGATTTCATCATAGAGCTATCAACTAACCTATTTCTTTCTTTTTTTTTCATTGTTAAAGTAATAATATAATGATGATAATTCTTATTTAAAATACAATTATCTATCATCACATCTTTCCCGATAATAGTGGCCTTCCACCAAGTGACATCAGAAAATAACGGGAAATTCCTCCGTTTTCGAAGCTTTGTATAAATAACACGTGCGAAGAATCGTTCGATGTTTGATATCGTCAGAAAGCTTTGAACATCAATAATATTAAAGTAACCTCGCTAGGAGTATTTACGTAGTTTATTTGATATGTAAGGGTCGGAATTGGATACCGTCCTCGTGTATGATATATTTCAGATTTAGTCTTTGGTTAAATCGTGTGATTTTAAGCAGGTAATCGCGGCCTATGTTTAAAACATAGAACTGCGTGGACATATTGTACTAGGTAACGACCTGAGGCAAACATTTCTCATGCATATATTTGGGCATTAAACATGGTGTCCCAGCCTAAAAATTGAGACGACAAATGTCGAGATGTCAATAGTAACTTAGATGTAAGTTTGGCGATTGTTAGAAATATGTTTGTTTTTTATTAATTACTTTATCTAAATTATTTACGATTTGCTTGAAACGTCGTTTTATTGCTCTTTGACATTTCGATATGGACTTGGTGTCGAAGCGTTTTTTTCATAGTTAATAATTCTAAATCTATATTATAAAATATGATTAATGGAAATGAAATATTTATTTTAGATATTGTGAAAAGTGATAGATTTAATAAATGAATGATATGACAGGTAGGTTCATGAAACTATATATTATTTTGAAACAGGCCTGCGGTGTTGAAAGAGTTAACCAGTAGAGTACTCATGGACCCTGTTTCACAGTGCGAAGTCAGTGTTATGATTCATTTACCATGTGACCCGTGAAGATGCCGGGGTAGAATAGGTCTTCAACAACCCATGCTTGCCGTAAAAGGTGACTATGCTTGTCGTAAAAGGCGACTAACGGGATCGGGTGGTCAGGCACACTGACTTGGTTGATGCATGTCATCGTATCCCAATTGCGTGGATCGATGCCCATGAAATTAATCACTGGATTGTCTGGTCCAGACTCGATTATTTACAGACCGCCGTCATATAGCCGGAATATTGCTGAGTGCGGCGTTAAACAACCAACCAACCAACCAACCAACCAACATTTACAATGTTCACAGCTTTAAATAAGCTGCAGACCGAAAGGGCCTGCTAACATTTAAAACGACCACCCCGAAAACAAATATGTCTGCCTTGAGCCTAAGGGCCGATGTCTCTTTCGACTACTGGCCTGGATACTAAAACAATTGCATTTTGTTCGGTCTTTTCAATAATTTTCATGTTTTATGTTTTATGCATTTGAACATGTCAAGGTCGAGACATAAAAGCGACTAAACCCTTTCCTTGATCACTCACAATCACTGACTATTTTACTGTAGTTTCTGACTGTATCACAAACATATCTTTAACAAACACATGCAAATGCAAGTCAAGTGGTCACCTGAAAAAAGGGAAGATATGGTACAAATAGAAACTTGCATCAGATATCAGTTTGGAATTTTGTCTGGAGATCAGGCTATTTGACCATTATTGACATCGTCTTGTCCGAATAGCCTTATTTTGATTTTGCCATCCTGTGCTGAAATTCCGATTCAGATGCATAAAGAAACAGATAAGCAAGAGGGGGAGCACAACTGGTGGCTATTGGGTACATGTGCTTATTGCCCAAATATCTTATCCCTAATTTCACGTTGATTATCAATGAGAATTTCCAGCATTTCTCATATTGTTTTCTCAATAAACCTGAGATGACAGTTGCTTTCATTTTCGACAAATTGTCCAGACGCCTTGAAGATAGAGACGCAACTATATGTATGGTCACCACCTATAGTGACAAGGAACAAGGAGTGAAGTTTTCCCTTAAAGTTTCGATTTACATGAACTTGGTTCTTTTAGGAAATTGCAAGAAATCAGTAATGAATAGGTGTGGAGCATCATGTGACAAAACGCACGTGCGACATACAGGGAATAGACATAAGGGAATATTTACACTTTGGGCTACGTAGATTTTAGCTGTCGGTCTATCAAGGTTCGGACAACCATTCTGTGAGAGAATAAAGTAACTTGGTTAAGTGGTTTCTGAGATTATGTTCTCAATGCGAGGAAGTGTGTTGGGGTATAAGATATGTATTCATCTAACAGTCTGTAATAAAGCGCATTTTGAGGAGCAAAACGTAAAGTGTATGCCTTTTTTGATGACATTTCAAGGGCATTGATATGGTTAATATATCATCATTATTGTTCGCCCCAGATCAGAAAGGAGTTTCCCCCAAACTCTTAAGTTCTCCTGAGGCTATTTCTGAATCTGCTAAGTCGTGTGTAATAATTGACCGTCTATTTTTGGATATGTTTACATGCAACGTCGGCATCCGTCAGGGCGATGTATTGAGTCCCTTTTAGTTTCCCTTTAAAATGACTTTGCCGACAAAATAAAAAAATCCTGATACCCTGGTATTTAGTTGGATCCTGATTTAACCGCTCGTTTTCTGTTGTATTTGATTCTTATCTCTGGTCATGTAACATGTCTCGTAAGACGTATCAACACATTACATGAATATAATCTTAGTGTCAATCTAGATAAAAGTGTGATTGTTGTTGAAGGCTCCTCTCTAAACAGGTGAAGTGATATTGAATGTGTTACCTCTTATAACTATTTAGGCATAACCGTCTCAAGAAGTATTGAATTGAGCACTTTATGTGGTATTTTTAGAACTTTGTTAAGATTTAAACCTTAAAATATGGTGCTTTCTTCTAGGTTTTTGATAGCGTGCCAAGTAATGTAACCTTAATCGTACGGTGTTCTGAGGAATAGGGCATGGATATGGATTGTAATTTAAACTAGAAATGTTTAATGTGGTTGCCTGAAAGACCTTTCTTTGTGTTAAGATGAACACTTTAAATAATGTTGTTCGTGGCAAAAGCCAAAAATACTGAATTAACATTGACTCATATAATACTGGTATAAAAGTTTATGCATATTAGAATTATGTTTGCCCCCAACATGTCTCAGGGTAAAACTGATTGTCTTCAAATTTAACAAGGTGTTGTTCAGGTTAGGTTTGGGTGAAATTAGGGAAAAGCAGCATTAATAGTCTATAGATAGTTTTTAAAAGAGTTTATGATACCACTAAAATGTATACATTAACAAGATTGGCATGTCTCACTAACAGGTGCTCATTTTTTCGAGCTCATTATTTATAACGTCTTTCTATGGGGAGCGTTAAAAAAGTTTGTTAATAAGTTTCGTCAAGCATGAGCTCAGTTCCGATGCAGTTCCCGTAAATCATACATAGAAACAGGTCGATATAATAATATAAAAAAAACATGAAAATAAGGAACTTGTAAAGTATGTAACTATGGATATGTAGAAAATGAGAATCACCTTTCGCTTGGTTTTGTGGCTTTTGCAGATCTGCGCCAAATTTATCTTCACAAGAAATAATATGTACACCCACTCAACAGAAACATAATATACTTATGTCAGTTGATAACAATGACATTGTTTGACAAATGTTTGTATTTTATTCAATGCAGTAAAGACATAAGTATGCTGATGTACAATGTAAAAAAACCTGCTAGTTGGCTGCTTTGTCACTGAAGCTGTATGGCCCATGGCCTACATCCATGTTGAAACAAGATTCAAACAGACCATAACATAGAGCTCATTTTACTGTATCCATGACATTTATTGAATATATCAGTTCACATTGAACGACATCAGTCAATTCCGTCAATAACAGTCAATAAACAAGAGGCAGTGTTGTTGTCGTATTTCGTGTTGTATAACATGGATACCCAAGAGTTTGTCCAGTGCAAAGTCAACACACGATTGCGCATGTTCAAATGGAAACATATGAGGAAATATGAAACTATAATGTCATTGCCATTACAATATATACTACACAAAAGTTTTGCTTTGGAAAAGACACCATCCAACAAATATAGATTTTAATATCCCTTTAGACAACGATTGGGTAACCCCTTTTGGACTTCAAATTCACGATGAACGGACAGAGGCATGCGGTCATGGGCATGATATGCAAGAGGTGCCTGAAAACCTGTGTTTGTATGTATCGTGACATAATCGTTACGCATCATTATCAGAGGGCACAACAACCAGTTCTACTAAGGATAGCAACATCTGAATGCACGTATGCCCCCTCTACCTCAAAGAAGTGAGTTAAAATTTAACGTTGCATCGGCATTATTTCAGCCGCAAAGCGACGAGAACAAGCTTTTAAGTAAAGAGGCATGTCATAAATAACAACTTATAATTGAAAGCAAATTTGTCAAACATGTTATAGCATAACAACAATATTTACAGCTGTTTAAAACACGGGATATACATCATTTTACGGTAGTTTTAATCTCCTGGGCAGGGCCCTCAATAATCTATGTTCAATAAAACATCACATCACACCAAATTAATAAACAGGCAATTAGTTATTCACATACTTATTTAAAATGTATGATACAGGCCAAGTAGCTTCAGATGCGATGCCCACTAACACGGGCACACCGTAGATGCCGGACTTTCCCTCATGGACGATAACGCACGACTTTTTCGTGCCAGGGTCGTTCTTGATCGCCCCCTCACTACGCCCTGTCCTTCCGGCAACTCTACTGTTTGGCAATGCTCTCTCTGAAGAGTGAAGAGCACGAGAGGACGGTTCCAGGCTGTGGAATACATACTCGCTACTGAGAATTATTTTCTTGGACAATGAATTAATTTAATCATCGTATATTTTTAAACAGATATGCATTTAATTACGATGACTACACCCCACCTCTTTACACGGTAAACTACGATGCATGATACGACATCTGAAAAGAACTGACATATGAATTGATATATTCACTTGTTGTTAGGATTATTAGAACTAGAGTTCTCGTTCAAGGTAGAATACATTTGATGTGTTTGTAAATCATGCGCGAGCGGATACTTGTGTCATATCGGAAGTTTAGAATGGTAACTCTTCACAATACGAATATGGGTCGAGCGCTTGGTCAGTTGCGTGTATTGAAAACCTCTGATTTTATGCAACATAGTTTATATGATATTTCGGTGGAAGTGAAGTTAGCTCCCTTATGTAGCATGAGGCAATGTGCTTTTATCTGATATGCGTGCGTCATTTGAAAGCGGCCTCGGGAAAATGGGAATGAATCTCGAATACAAGCAAAACCTTCACAAAGCAAAACAAAACAATGACAGAACATCTGCAGTTTCCAATGGTGTGCTTTGTACAACGCTAAACTAGTAATAAATAAAGTTTAACTTAAGCTAGCATAATAAAGTTTAACTTAAGCTTCAGGTATTTCGATGATCTGATATACTTCAATATAACTATCACATATCCAATTCCCTTCTACCGATTGACCCTCCTGAACCAAAATTTAAGGAGACCAGTGAGACCGCCTCATCTGCTTCATTTTTAGATCTATGCTTAAAGATTCCGAGTGACGAAACACTCAAGACTGTATGATAAGAGCGATTACTCCACTTTCAATACTCTAGCCCTTGGTGTCTACATTTCACAACTTTGGGGGTACAATCGAGCATGCTTTTACCACCAAGATTTCGAAGACTGCTATACGACTTTTGCTTGATCAAGGTTATAACATCGATAGCCTCAGTAAAGCTTTCAAAAAGCTTAAGTTTTATGGTATACATGAGGAGAAATTTTCCAGATTTGACGCATCCGTGACAGAAATTATGTCTAATACAATTCCCTATTTTGACGTATACCATATGTGCCCATGTTGAAGGTGACGGGTGCCACCGGCTGGGCAGGATACGCACGCCTTTTCGCAAATGCCCGGTACCATCACTGTTTGATCGTGATTCATAAACACATGCTCATGATATAATCGGAATCGTACAGTCAACTCTAATTTGGCACTTCTTATTGAGGTTTCTATTTGCAGTCAGCTCGTACGACAAACATCAGTCTCGGAAGACGTTGTCCGTCCCTAAATCACAACCGGTGTTAAGAACAGTTTTCTCAAAAGTAAATCCTTGATCATGGTAAGCATTGTTTTATTGCATGACATACGCGAGTTAGATAACAACATCATTATACGTGGAAAAGCTTGCAGTTACCAATTGTCAAATTACATAACTAACACATGTGCTTTTAGGATAAACAAATATATTCCTATATAGATTCTATTACCACTGCTACACAGCGTTTTGTTCTTCCATCATCTGTGAAAACATACGACCGTTTTACGGTGTACAATGTACTGTTATTTTAACCAACGAATCAAGACAGATTCCAGCGAGGGGGAAACAAACGACTGATCAGATCATTGAACGCTCATATTCCATCGCATGAACACCAATATTTCTTGTGTTCCGCATGTCAGCCTTGTGGCCGTTTGCTTTAATATTAGGAAATGGTAGGTTTCGGGCAATGTTAAATACTGCTCTGATTTGGGCTCGTATCACTGCCACGTGTAATGAATGCCCTTATTTCATATACTATATCAAAACAGACACTCGTCACTACGACACCGCAAATGGGCCGTATGTATTCAACAAATATGACAAACCCGTGAAGTACTGACTATGATGACTACATAGATTCTGACAGATATCAACGTATCGGAAATCAACATGAAACATTTTAGTACCTGGTTCAATCCAAAACAGTTTTCAATAAATATGTGTTACCAAGAATGGACATTCACAAATTCGTAGCAGCTATTGCTCTCGATGTCACTTACACATGCAAATAGTTCAGGTTGTTTGTTCTTTAAGGCCACAGTCAAGCTATATAAAGGCGTACTATAAATAAATGAGTCCCGTGTGGTGGAAAATACGATGGCAGAATAAGATATGTTTTTTTGTTTGTTGTTTAACGCCGCACCCAGCGATATTCCAGCTGTGTGACGGCTGTCTGTAAATAGTCGAGTCTGGACCAGACGATCCAGTGATTGACATCATGAGCATCGATCCACGCAACTGGGACACGATGACATGTATCTACCAAGACAGCGAGCCTGACCTCCCGATCCCGTTAATCGCCTCTTACAAGTATAGTCGCCTTTTACGGCAAGCATGGGTTGCTGAAGACCTATTCTCTGCCCCGGATCTTCACGGTTCGAATAAGATATGTACCTATTATATATACATAGATATAAATGCAAATGTTCATTATATTCTTGGGGGGCACGGGTGTCCCAGTCGTCTAAGGCGCCGCGATTCGCTGTGCAGAGTTGCGTCCCTTGGGCACGCCAGAAACCTATGATTGTGGGTTCGAATCCCGGTTCATCCCGATTATGTTTCTAGGTTTGCCAGCACCATACCCGTGCTCGTGGGTTTCACCGAAGTGATAAACGTCTGAGACCTGCATCACTTCGGACTTTCCTCCCACATGAAGCTGACACACCGTGATATAACTCGAACACTGTTAAAAGCGGCGTTAAACCCAACTCACTCACTCATTATATTCTAGTAATGTAATAAACAATTACTGTTTTGTCCCGATGACCTGACATTGAACAGGTCGCTGTCAAGTAACTTGAAAACTATTGAATACAATTCAAGCACATTCCTGGGAGGTCTGGAGTTGAAATGTGTTTCAAGCCCGTAAATGATTCTTTTATATTTATGTATTGCTTAACATCGCATTCAGCAGTATTCCGATGCCCTGTATGCAAAGAAGCCCACGATGTTAAGGCCCTCTGTACTGATTTACATTTGAATAGACATTAAGGTCTGTCTGTTGCAAAATGTTTTGTAATGAATTTCAACCTCAAAATTGTCCTTGGTCTTGAAGCTCTATCAGAAAAATACGAGCGGTCGTTAACTTACTCAACACGTGCCAAGGATGTAAATCACAAAACGTTAGTTCGTCCTAATCGCAAACAACCTTTGAAAAATACATATGTAAAATCAAAAAATTATTCCTGAGGAATTCTTTGACCGAAGCTAGTGTTAGATGCGCATTAGTATTGGTTTTTTGCATTTTCTCACATAACATTCATGGATGAGCAGATGAGGCAAGTGGTGACGAATGACTCCCGGCAAGAAATGTATCTGCTATGTATTTCCACATTTGGACAGAACTCATAATTCATAATATATAATGCATGTAACATGAAACATATAAACTGTCAACAATGTTGGACTAATAAAATATAAAGCTAAAATTCATAAAGAACATGATCCTACCATCTTTGGTTTTGGAAATATACAGAAAATGTAGTTACTTAACAAAAGGCAATTCATTGTACCGACCCATAATGTCGCTGTTTTAAACTTTAAGTAATTATTATCAGTGTATACACTCATGAATGGTTAGTTCCGAGTTAGCTCAAATTTCCCCATTTGAGCTCAAATGCAGTCAGTTGTAACACACATGTGAATAGGCTGAACAATAGGGGCTTAAAGTATAGTCTGTTACATCTCCTGACCATTGCAGACACCAGACATAGTTTGTATGAAAACTAATACATGAATATTTAAGTTTCACTTACCGAGTTCTCATTTAGGAATTAGGAAACATCCATTGTCACATCTTAGCGGAAGAAGTGTATCCACTACAAGCACAAACTACATGTAACTGTTTTCGTTCCCGTAATGTGTATCCACTACAAGCACAAACAAAACAAACGTAACAGTTCGTCCCCGTCCCCTTCACTCTCGCTCAGTGGGCGTTATGGTTGTCCTATGCGAGTGTTACTTTGTTGTGCAGGTTTGCTGCACGTCTAAATTTAGACCATTTGGCATTCCAATTACGATTGTAATCTCAGACCTATACTGGAGAGGAAGCCTTTACTTCATTGAATCTTTTCACTAATACATATGAAGTTATAATGTTACTGCTTGGACAGGACACGACAAATAAAAACAAATAACATAGTCAATAAGATGTCATTGTCATGTAAGAAATCATGATATTTAAAATACTAACACAATGCAGAGTACACACAATTCTTTATACACAACATTTCGAGGCTACTTCTTGCTCATTCATCATCTGAATGATACAAAAATTAATTCAAGTAGCTGGGTGTCGTACAGGAAATAAGGGTAGCCTGATTGATAGCAAGTGAGTTACAATGAAACATATAAGTGGTAAATTATATGCTCCGTTTGTATTGTTCACTTGTTGAAATTTACAAGAAATATATTCAAAATGTACTATGAATAATTAAGTAAAAAACAAGGTAGCATAGCGACACAAGGCAATGTCATTAGACCGGAAATGCTTACAACAATAGGTATGTATGTAGATGACCCGGGAAAGGTCCGGCGTGGAATAGGTCTTCAGCAACCCGTTCTTGCCGAAAAAGGCAACGGGATTGGGTGATCAGGCTTGCTGACTTGGTTGATGCATGTCATCGTATTCAAATAGCTTGGATGGAGGCTTATGATGTCAATCACTGGATTGTTCATGTCAAAAACGTGGATTAACGTGCACCATTAGAAAATATACTAAAACAAATACTAACTGAACTGTGTACTTCTATTTCCGACATCATATATATAAAAAATCAAGATAAATAAAATATATTTTGAAAATCACCCAAACAAGTATAGAGGCGACTTTTCGTTATGTTTTTTTGCCTGCCGAATTGCAAACCAACAAGCGTAAAATATGTACAAAAAGGTTCAATGTGTAATTATCACAATGAGGCTGGTCTGTTCAACCAAATATATTCTGTGGGATAAGTGAGTATAAGTCAAACCTGTCAGTATCGTTTATATATGTGAATTTTAACATTCTCTCAGATAAAAATCTTCGACCATTTGGGGAGTCCGTCCGATATCCAAAATAGTTGTAAAAGGATAAAAATATCAAAATAGTTACTCGTCTAATAGTCTTGCGTCGTGTGGGTGTTGTTAAGACCCATATCATTCATTCACAACAACTTGTCTAGAGAAACACAATCACCGGCCCCATTTCACTTGTATCAATGTCATGGTAAATGTGTTCAGAGTTGCGTTGTGTCGAAGCTGTAGCAACATCTGCGGCAGGTGGGAAGTTTTCTTCTTCTCTTTCATCCATACTCTGTGAACAGCTCTCTACGTCCTGGCGGGGGAATCTATTATAAATCAGATAAAGATTGATTTAAGTAGACGAAATAAGGGTCACCTATATATTTGTGTTATTATGCCACCTATTTCATGTGGCTTCATTTGAGTGAGGGGTCGGATTTGGTTTTTCTCCGCTTTGAGTAATATTAAAGGTATAATAAAGCAACGGGATGCACAGGTTGCTTCGGCAGTACAGGCTACTGTTGTAACCTCAATGTCCAACCAATTGCCCTGGTGGTTTTTAGAAGGCATTTCATTATGGATTGTGTCATACCGCATATACCGACTTTATAGTGCTAGCCCACTGAGATATCAAGTCGCAGTTACACATGAATGCCCCACTCAGACACAGTACACTGACTCCGAGCCGACAAGTCCCAAGTAATTTCATTAAAGTGGCGAGCGAAGAAAACCTGTGGTTAGTTTGGTTCCCCTCCCACGAGCAGTGTTACGACTTGAAATATATTCAAAGCGGCGTTAAACTAACTCACACACTCACTCCCTAAATTTAGAACGATTGCTATAAAAAAGAATTACAATTATTTTCCTCACGCAATAACCATGTTTGTCAACGCGGTGTATAAAGGAGTTACTGAATAAGCCCAACTGATGTCCGGTTATATGATCCTGTTTAGCCATAAGGACACGAGGAAAGTTGCTGTCTGCCGCTGTGTATCGGTGTATGTCTTTCACATCATGCTTGAAAAGAAATCATTTGTCACGCTCCCAGCATGAACAGTTTGTTGGTGATAACCTAGTTTTGATCAAATGGCCCATTGAGGGGCTGAAATTCCAAAAAGTGAGAAAACATTTCCCCGTGTTATTGTGATCCCAGCAGTTCACACACCTGAATAGGTTTCTGTGACTTCTATTTCAGCATGTAACATTTCAAGAACGACAAACAATGCATACAGAATCAATGTCTGACAAATAACAAAAGCCAACACGAATGCATAGTTCATAGTTACCCGGCTTCAGAAAGAACAACATTTGACATGATGTCACCAATGTGTACAACATATGTCGTGAAGATTATACTATGAAACACATTAATATCCTTTCACTGAAGCAGATAGTGTTTATCTTAATGTATCTTATTTTCAAATTTCCGAAATGATTACTGAAAAAGGCGTCATTGTGTAGTTTGCACATACTAATATTTCAACATAGATGTGGATTTGAGAAAGATAATATATCATTTAAATTAGTTTTGTTTTACCACCTACCTTGTCGTCACTTTTATGAGATGAGGAGAAACAGGGTTTAACATCGCATTCAAGATTATTCCACGTGACTGCGTGTGTGTGTGTTGATGTTTGTACCAGTCCAGATTAATTATGAGATAAACATACTGTCTGATTAAGATAGAGCTAGGGTAACCTGAAGATTCAACAGCACTAAATTGAATATGGAACCGAACGCGCAGTTTGTTTACACCGAAATAATTCACTCGAACATATGACAGGCATTGAAAGCATATTAGCACGACTCGGGTCAGCTAAAATGAGGTGGGCATGCCTGAAGAAAACTAAGCCAACTTTGCAAAGCTTTCGTTCTATACCGAACATCACTATTATGACATCATATCGCTCACTGTGATGCAGAAGATATGACGTCACAGTCGTATTTAGAAAAGCGCCGAATTCAAGCTCTCTGTTGTCCCCAAAACTTAAAGTACATTCTCTTTGTAGATTTATGTCGTGTTTTCTGCCAGAGATGTATTGCCACACATTCTTTGAATATTGTAGTAACCGCAACTTTGCATTATTGTAGATATAATTACATAAATATGCCCACCGAAAGGACTGAAAAAAGTACTATTTTATGAAGTTAGCTGTTTCAATCAGAGTTTTCTTTGGATTTAACGGCCTCTGATTGACCAATCAGAATCGAGTAATTTCCCAATTCATGGTAAAATGTAGGTTTAACAGAGCTTGACAATTGAAATGCCATGCCGCAGTTTATCATAAATTCAGACACGTTATGCCGATTCGGACCAGTCCTTGATATTAATATCGGGTGCCAGGCAGGGCAACAACAACTACCATATGTTAACGTCTTGTGGTTTGATGCAGCCACGGGACCAAACCTATGACCTACCGCTATTCGGGCAGACGCTCTATCAACTACACCAAGGAGGCGGTAATATCAGTATGGCATATCTAACGTCTGTCGTTTTAAGTGAGTGAGTGAGTATGGTTTTACGCAGCAATATTCCAGCAATATTACGGCGGGGGACAACAGAAATAGGCTTCACACATTGTACCCAGGTCGGGAATCGAACACGGGTCTTCAGCGTGACGAGCGAACGCTTAAGCCACTAGAATACCCGACCGCCCTCTGTCGTTTTTAAGGATGTTGTTGAAAAAACTAATTCCAGTAGCTCCAGCTTACGACAGATACTGACTGAAGATAAAAGATCACAACAAAATATCTAGGCACAATTCTAATTCGTTCATCAACGATCATGACTGGCTGAATAAAAATGTTGCAACTGTACATACTGACCTTGTGGAGAACCGACCCTTGCGGTAACAGATGTAGCATACAGCTGTTGCGACAAGCATTACTACTACCAGTGCTACTACGTACGGGTTGATACTACTAGCCCTTGGGGTTTCTAACAAAAAAAAGAAAATGACAGTACTTTCACACATTCATACAGGTTGTGCCTTATAAAAAATGGAAATATTTTACCTCGCTTCAAAACAGTAAACTATGACATAAGGAATAATTATTTATGAATCTTTTGTTAAAGGGGCGAGATAGAATGACTAACCTACTTCATATACCACCTATATGATTAAAGAAATTCAGATAATGCTTTCGCAACATTCTTATAAAGTTCAATTGAATCGTGTCGAAGTTGTTTTTTTACCAAATTAATGCTGATACAGTTTGATCAACGAAAGTAGAGACTTTTACAACCATATCTTAATGACATTGATGTATCGAAGCTCCTTCACCAATCATAGATTAGGTCATATATATCATGGCTAATTATCAACTTGATAGTTGTCTAAGGATAGGAAAATTAAAGTCGATGCGGCAACTTTTAAAAAAATCGTTCGTTTCATCTTGAGGTTTTGAGAGATAATTTAGCTTGGTTATCAATACCAGAAATATTTCAGCCTGATTTACCTGTGACACAGGATCCAGTAGTGCACTCAGTTGTTGGAACGTCCATTGAACAATTATGCTTACATCCATCTTCTGTGATGAAACATCCGTTGATACATTTTCCAGTCGTCTGATCACACACATCGTCAATACATGGGTTACTGGTGAGGTTACAGTATTTTCCATACGTTCCATTGCTACATGCATTTAAACAAGACCCGCTTTTTGAATCGCAAGTGTAATTAGCGCAGATCTCAGAACACGGTTTACATTGTTTTCCAAAATGACCTAGTGTGCAACCTTCAGCACATCCCCCTGTGTCATCACAACGTTTGTCAATGCAGTTAGCGTTACACATAGATGAACACATTGGACCATACCAGCCAGCAACACAACCGTGGATGCACTCACCGCTTTCTTGGTGGCACTCGGGTATACACACGTTTGAAATGTTTACATCTCGTTCCAAACACTGGTCCTCAGA